CCAGGCCCTGCTGAGGCTCCTTTTATGTCCCTTCGAGGATCTGATCCTGCAGTGGGGTGGGAGGTTGTCTCCCATTTCAGCCCTCGGCAGCTCACGGGGGAGGGGGGTATGGTCTGGAGGAATGAGATTGGGTGTGGGTGTACAGGTCTTCTCCTCTCAACACATTCTTCCTTCAGAAGTCCCAACTCCCTGAAGACCATCCAAGACTCTGGTGTGACATGTGACTTATATCCTTTTTTCCCAAAGGAGCAAGGCCACCAAATCCTCTTCCATCTCTGCCTAAGGTTTTTGGCCATTAAGAGTGTGCAGTGTTTTTGGTTTTTTAGTATTCTTTTTAAAAGATTTCTTTTTAGTGTGTGTGTGTAGTGTGTATGTTGCATGTTCTCAGAGGCTACAAGAAGGCATCTGACTGGATGTGCATGTTGGAAGCTAAACTTGGGAAAATAGCAAGTACTCTTAACCACTGAGCCCCAGGTTTTAGAGTTTTGAGATAGGATATCACTGTGTAGCCTTGAACTCAAGCTAACCTGGGACACATGACCCTGCTGCCTCAGTCTCCTGGGGGTTTGGATTATTACCTTCATGCTTGGCTCTGGGGGAGATATTAAACAACCTCTAGCTCTTTGTGACATCTTTAGGTTTAAGGTGTATTCACCTTCCATCATTTTCCTACACTGTAAAGATGGGTACATAGTCAGGTACACGTGCCTGTATCTCTCTGTAACCCCTTAAAACCACCTCCTGAGTTAGCACTTGCTTTAAATGGGTTTCTCTGTGTAGCTTTGTAGACCAGGCTGGCCTCAAACTCACGGAGATCCACCTGCCTCGGCTTCCAGAGCACTGGAATTAAAGGCGTGCGTCACCACTGCCCAGCTGCTTTAAATGTTTTTAAAAATGAAATTTGATTATATTTATGTGTGTGTGTGAGCACATCCGAGGACATCTTGGGGAGTTGGTTCTCCCCTTTCACCTTGTGAGACACAAGAGTAACTCAGGTCCTCAGGCTTGGAAAGCAAACACCTTTACCCACTGAGCCACCCTGCTGGCCCTTCTGAGATAGTGTCAATTTGAAATATTTTGTTTTCGTTCCCAAAAGAAAACTCATCCCTGTGTCCTGACTCTGCATTCTAAATATGTGATTGCTCTTTAGGTATCTGCCAAAGGAATGGGACCAGGCAGACTGTCCTGTAGGAGGGCATGTGTTTCTAACGCAGTCTCTGATTCCCCCTAATGCAATTCCTCCCAGACTGGCCTCAGGTTTCCCCTCATTTCGGATCCCTCCAACCACCCCCCAAGTTGAGGCTTCCTCTACCGGGGCTTCTGTGGGACTTTTCACGTGGTTAGAATAGGGGGACCCTCCCTCCCCTCCCCCCAGGTAAAGCCCAGAAACAGCCTGACCAAGTTTTGGTTCCTCTTTTTCATTCCCTTGGTGAAATGTGACAGTTGTGTGCAGACAAACTGTGACCGGTGATGCTCTGGTCACCCTGAGTTTATGGCTCCATGTGATCGTCTATGAGGAAGGGTCAGAGCAGCCAAACTTTGGAGCTTGGAGCAGCTCCACCCTGTTCTATGGCAGCCCCACCCCCTGAGGGCTGGAGACTTACATCATCACTGGCCTGTGTGGGTGCCCACCCAAGGCCCTGTCTCCAGACAGGCATAGCTGAGGATCTCTGGTTTGAGGTATGAAATGAAACAACCCATGCTGGTTCTCTGAGGCAGGGTCTCCCCCAGGTCCACCTAGACCCATGGCTGGTAGGGTGACTTCCTGACACACCTGATTTAGGCACCTCCTTCCTGGTTCTTAGCCATCTACAAGTATTGTTCAGATCTTGCACTCATAAGGATTAGCTATCCACCTTAATCAAGCAAGCTATCAAGAGGTCAAAGGTCATCTTTGAGTTCAAGGAGACAAAAGGGGCTGGTGCCATGGCTCAGTGGGTAAAGGTGTCTGTTATACAAGCTTGATGACCTGAGTTTGACACCTGGAATCCATGGTGGAAGGAGAGAAGGAATTCTCAAATTTCTCCTCTGACCTCCAGGCAGAGGTCATGGCACATGTGTGTCCTCATACACATACACAATAATAATAATAATAATAATAGTAAAATTCATTAATATGAAAGATGGGCAGGGCATGGTGGCACAGCCTTTAACCTAAGCACTTGGGAAGCAGAGACAGGCAGATCTCTATGTGTTCAAGGCGACCCTCATCTACATAGCAAGTTCCTGGACAGTAAGGACTACAAAGAAATACTGTCTCAAAATTAATGAATTAAAAATAATAAAAAGAGAGGTTGGTGAGACAGCTCATTGGCTTAAAGGCACCTGCCACCAAGCCTGAACACTAGAGTTCAATCCTTGGGACACACACACTGGAAAGACAGAACAAAATCCCACAAGTGCATGTGTACACACACGCACATGCACACACATACAGGCACACAGGTGCACACACACACTAAATAAACAAATAAAATTTTTTTTAAAAATAGGATAAAGGGATGGTTGTTGCTTGATTTATTATGATCCCTGTTTTGGAACCCAAAGTTGGAGTGTCGAACCTCGTGAACTAGGAAGGCAGGCAGGTAGTCAGTTGGGTCAAGGGCAAGGAGTGGGAACAGATAATAAAGTCAGTGCAAGTTAAGACCTCAACTTCCTTCCACAAGGCAGCAAATGATCCTTGGGAGAGCTGGGGACACATGAGGCCATGGTGTCCAATTCCAGTATAACAAACAAACTGAGTAAAAGAGAAACCCCCAAATTTATTCAGAGGACACTAATTCAAGTCTTTTCTGCCTGTTCTGAGGTCTAGGATACTTACACTATGACAGAATGGGGCAGGGTGCCAAGGCCAATCATGACCTTTTGGAAGGTGGGCAGGGCCAAAGAGGAGGATCTGTGTTCCAGAGCGTCAGCCCTTCTGAAGAGAGTGCATGGGAGGTAGGTGAAGGCAGGATGTGCCTGACTGAAGGGTTCCAGAGCCAGGATTGTCTTAGGATTCCTGGGCTTCTAGTTAGACCCCAGCTGATGTCCAGGAACATAGCTGAGGGCCTTTGGTTTGATATGTGTCAAGAGAAAGTTGCCAGGCTTCTCTCCTTGGACACCCTCTGCTGTCCCTCCACCCACTACTACCACCTGTCTCTAGTAGGTCATCCAGTGAGGTGAGGCGTGCAGTTAGGGGAAACTCTTGAGGTTTCTCAGAAGTCAGGAACGGCCAGGTCTCCAGGTGGTGACAAAGGCATCCAAATGGGTCAGAGCCGATGATCAGCTTGATGCTGTGGGCTGAAGATACCAACTAACCAAATCAGGGGCAGCCAGTGGTAGCGAGGAGGATGAGGGTGGAGCATGCTGCCTTGCAGAACAGTGCAGCTTAAAATCTGACCTGTGTTCTGGCCTAGATCCTGATTACACTCAGCTGTCATCATGAAGGTACCCCTTGGGCAGTCGTGGGGATTCTGCACTTAGAAGGACCTCAGGATTGGTTTAATGCTTTCTGTTGTCATATTGAGTTTTTCATTTGTTGGTTTGTTGGTTTGTTTGAAACAGTCTCCCTGTGTAGCTGTCTGACCTCAAATTCGCAATCCACATGCCTTAATCTTTTGAGTGCTGGGATTACAGATGTGTGCTACCATGCCCATCTTTCATTCTTTTTTCAACAAGAGGCCTTATATTTTGATTTTTTTGCATTGGACCTGCAAACTACAGCAGGTCCTGAATAGACAGATGGATAGATTTGAACCAGGGTTGGACTGTAGAGGCTACAGCCACTATGATGAACCCTAGCACTCACATCTGTCCCTAGGACACAGGCACTTCTCAGCTTGAAACCTGAATGAAGGAGCATCTCCCAGCAAGACCATAGATTCTTGAGAGCTGAGGGAGTCGGGAGAACACCTCAAGGTGTGTTCAGGACAGATCTGATAGCACCCAGGGTCTGGAGTTTTCATGGCCTAGCCCAGAAAGCAGCTCACAGAGAATAAGACTATGGTGAAGTTTCTAGTCCCTTCCTGGACAACATGATAACATGCTCTTTTAAGAGTTACACAGTTTAGAATTCTCTGCTGCATGACCCTGGCCACTGGGATCCTCTTCCTTACTACAACCATCTATTCTCACACTTCCTGTATCTTTATTTCTGTCTAAAAGCTTCCAGTCAGGATTCATTCCTTCCTCTTGTCTAGACCATAAGCTATCTGAGGGCAAAGATAGGTTCTCAACTTCTCCATCCAACACAGAATGCTCTACCTTGATGATAAAATCATACAGCAAGATGAACAAATACACACATATTTTTGAGACAAGATCTCACACGTCCTGGCTAGCTTCAAACTTGTTATGTAGCTGAGGGTGATCTTGAACTTCTGATGCTTCTGTCCTCCACATGCTTTATAGGCATGTACCACCATACTCAGTGTATGTGTGCTGGGGACGAAACCCGGCTTCATGCTTGCTTGGCACTCTACCATTTGAGTTCTTCCCCAGTGAACAACTACACATCGACTGATTGGATTAGCAGGGCTGGTATACTGACATTAAGAAAGCTTCCAACTGGGCGTGGTGGTGTACACCTTTAATCACAGTACCTGGGAAACAGAGGCTGGTGGATCTCTGTAAGTTCCTGATGTTCAAGACATTCAGAACTATACAGAGAAACCCTGTCTTGAAAGGCAAACAGACAGAGAACTTCCAAAATGTCTTGCCATTCTAACCCAAAGAGACAGACAGGAGCCTGTATTGAAGCACTGAGAGGCGGAGGTGCGCACCTAGTCACCTAGTCAGGATTCAGAGCCTGATTCTATGGCTGCCATCTCTCTCTGCTATCTGTTAATGGAAGCAGATAGGGTAGACAATAAAAGTCTAAAGGTGCAGATACCCATGCATTCACCTATGGTCTATAATCCTTGCAGATGGACTCCCAAGCTGTCCCCTCTCCCTTGATACAGAATATTTAAAATTCCAAGCAGGACCTAGACAACAGGGAGCCACATGTCTCTACTCACCAGGTCATCCAGGTTGTAGGTGATGAGATCCATGTCCAGGGTTAGAGGGTAGTTCATGGCTGCACTTCTGCGCCACTAGACTGGCCACTGTCTGATGCTGAGACTCTGCTGGTGCCTATGGAGAGGTGGCAGGCGTCAGCTGCAAATTTAAACAAATGAGCTGTGTGCTGTCTCCTGAGGCTGTGTAGGGCTTGCCATTTGCCTCTCAACTCATCAATTTTTTTTTTCCACTGGGTCTTTTCTGTTGTGTGTATTTTTTTTTTCCTTCCTTCCTTTCTTTCTTTTTTCTTTTCTTTTTTTTTTTTTTTTAAGAAAAAGGGAAACTCCCCCACAGCATCAGCATTAGTCAAGCTTTTGCTGGCAATTGTGGTCTGAACTGGGCCAAGGGTCTGGTGTGAAGGCAGCCCTTCGTTTCTGCTCACTAGAGCTGTATGAGGGATGTACACAGCCTTGGGAAACTCCTCATTGAAAGGGGCAAGAACAGAGTGCTTCCAGCCACCTCTAGGTCTTCACTTTCCTCATCACTAGGGTGACCAACCATACCAGTTTGCCCAGAACCAAAAGAAAGTCCCCTGCCCTGGGAAACCCCTCAGTCCTAGGCAAACCAGGACACTTGATCAACTTGTTACTGCCATCCATTTGCCCAGCCAGGAAGGAGTACCCCCTTCCCTTTGCAGCTGAAGTTTGAAAGAGATAAGTTATAATTTTTCAAAGAGAACAACCCTAAAATACCAGAAGACCAAACGTCGAAACTCCAAATGAAAGCACAACATAAACACAGCTACAGAGCCAACGCCATGACTCAGAAATAACGTGTTCAACCACAAGTAAACTTGTCGACAGCCTGGCTAGAAGGCACATGGGCAGCCATCTAAACCACCCCTCCCTCCAGTATTACACAAGAGGACCCTATAGCCAAGAGACAGACAGACAGACAGACAGACAGACAGACAGACAGACAGACAGACAGACTTACCCAGGAAACTGTAACACACCAATGGCAGCCACCTTACATCCAAGGGTGCTGACTCCATATTTATCCTCTGCTTCCTGAGGCAGCTGCCCTACAGGCTCACAGCACCTGCTCTTCCCCCTGCTCTGTCCCCACCGTGAGTGTCACCTCTGTCATGAAGACCTGTAGTAGACATTGATCCATTTCCCTCCCCTCCAGGTCTCGTTCTGGTGGGTTCTCTTCCATGATGTGTGTGGGGGGGACCATTTCCTGACTTGGTCCATAGCAGTGTAAGATTGTACCCAAAAGGCACCTACATATGGTGTACTGGGGTGTTTTGTTTTGGTTTTGGTTTTGGGTTTTTTGTTTTGTTTTGTTTTGGTGTGTCCCTGTGTGTGTTCATTTTCATTTTTTTTGTTTTGTTTTGTTTTGTTGTCTTGCCCCAGTGTTGTAATCATCCTCCCCTTCCAAGCCAAACCACTACACATGTCCTTTCCCTGTTCTGCCATTGTTATCACCCTTCTCTTCTAGGTAAACTACCTTTCAAGGGGACCCTACCCTGGTCAGAGCTTTCCTTCACCATCTCCTCCATAGTCCAGTCTCCCTTTTCCCAGCCTGCACACCTTGCTTATCGCCTCCTCTCGTCCTCAACATAAAAAACAGCTTCCTCAAGGCTTAAAGTGGGAAGACTTTTAAGCTCTATTTGGGCTATCTCAGTCTCTCCCCTCCATTCTCTATTTCCCATCTTCAGAAACTGCTTTTTAAAAATATTTTAAATTTTGTGTGTGTGTGAGTGTTTGTGTGTGTATGTGTGTGTGTGCATACATGAGAGAGAGAGAGAGGGAGGGAGAGAGGGACAGACAGGGAGGTCAGAGGACAATTTGTGGAAGTTGGTTCTCTCCTTCCAAAATGTGGGACCCGGAGATCAAATTCAGGTGGTCAGGCTTGGAGACAAGTGTCTTTACCTGCTGAGCCATCTTGCTGACCTTGAAACCTGCTCTTGAGGAGGAAGAAGGCCAGGACAAGGGGCTGGAGGGCCTCTTTAGCACTTCTAGTCCCGTACCCTTCTGGGACACACGGTTCTTCTTGGGTCTTGAAATGACTAAGCACTGCTCCCCCTTCCAACCCTACCCCACACTATCTTACCCCTCCGGCCCATACACAAGTCAGTTGTTATCCTGAACGCACTGCTCAGAAAAGACAGACCATGAGATCTCCTAGGCCCAGAAAGAGACTTTGAAAGACAAGCCAGTCACCCCTCACTCACTCCCCACCCCCAGGGAATGCAAGAATAGAGGCCACTGCATCTTCATCAAACCACCACTCACGGGGTAAGAGAGTCACCTGTGAAACCCTGTTCCCTCAGATGTGCGGGTGAACCCTAGCTCTTCGGGGGGTGAGGCAGGAAGATTGTGAGTCTAAGATTAAAGTGCTACATGGCTAGACTCATCCAAAAATAAAATAAAAAGAAGAGGAGGGAGCTTGTTTTAGAGTAGGACAGTTTGGTGTTTACTGTTAGAAACTGACGCTTCATGCTGAGTCAAAAGGTATCTTCTTGAGATGTCCCAGCAGTCCGAGGGCCTCACACAGGACCGTGTAGCATGTCTCCCAAGTGGCCACTGACTACAGACATCATGTGCTGCGAGTCTCACGTTTCCCAAACCCATATTCTAATGTCTTCAACTATTTTCCAAAGAACTGATTTGTGGATCCTTTATCAGCCTGTTCTTTGACCTCTGGGTGGTTTCCAGTCAGTGATCCAGGAAGTCTGTGACTAAGACAAACTCTAGGAAACTGAGTTTCCTTGTTCAAGGCTCCATATACTTAGTTGCAACTATCATGATGATCCCTGTGGGCTCCTTCTCCTCTTTGACTTCATGAAACCCTCTTAGTGGGTTTCATGCTGATGGTTCTAACACATCATTTGATTTTAGAAAAGAACTCGTTGCCTGTGGCTGTGATGACAACATAAATAAGGCATCCTTGGGTCCAGCTCAAGCCAGCATTCTGCTTCCTATCACTAGGCACCTCAAAGGTCACAGAGACTTCATGGGAGTAGGATCCAAGCTGGACATTAGGGAGGTGCGTGATGGGAAGCTGATGATGAAGACCGAGGGTTGCATAAAAAAAAGTGTGGAGCCGGGCAGTGGTGGCACAAGCCTTTAATCCCAGCACTCCAGGGTGGGAGGTGGGGGTTGGGGGTGGGAGTGGGGGTAGGTGGGTGCAGAGGCAGGTGGATATCAGTGAGTTCCAAGACAGGCTCCAAAGCTACACGGAGAAACCCTATCTCGAAAGCAAACAAACAAATGTGTGGAAGGAATTGTGCCATGCCTGGCACACTGTAGACTCAGCAATGGGGTGTGGTGTGGTGACAAAAATGTAAGGAGGTAGGAAGAGTCTGGAATTGCTCTTGGGGTGGTCTCCTCCCTTATTCTCAATCACTGGCCCTTTCCATGCTGTTGTAGACTCAGAGGAAACGTCAGAGGGCTCAGGACTGTTTCTTAGTAGCAGCAGCTGTAGTCTCTTGCCAGTACATTTACTTGTGGTGTGGTGTTGGCTGCAGCAAAGCAGTCCCCATGTTATCTCCACAAGGACTGGGCCAAGTCCTGTGAAACTGGTGTACTTGGGCTGTCACCCGACCCATCTCTGGTCCTTCCACTTCCCGAAGCTTCTCGCACTCTGGATTCATTCAGATATCATCCCTTCTACTCCCTTTTGATGCAAGGATACATTTTTTTCTTTTAAATTATTATATGTGCATTGGTGTGAAGGTGTCAGATCCCCTGGAACTGGAGTTTCAGACAGTTGTGAGTTGCTATGTAGGTGCTGGGAATTGAACCTGAGTCTTCTGGAAGAACAGCTACTAATCATAACTGCTCAGCTATCCCTTTAGCCCTCACAAGGATTTACTCTTACCAGGCCTTTTAATCTTAGCCCTTTTGATGGTTAGCCCTAGTGGATAAATACCAACCTATCCACGGGCTTTGGTAGTGCTTCAGAAGCCGCAGGGGGTCCCTATCTGTGTTTGGGAAAAGGCTCTGCTAGATCTCATTGAAGATGCATTTTATTTAAATTGTATTTTATGTGTGTGTTTTCCCTGCATGTATACATACATGTGCACTGTGTACCTGTGTGTGCCTCTGCCTGAGGAGGCTCGAAGTGGGCGTCAGAGACCCTGGATTAGGAGTTACAGAGGATTATGAGCCACCATGTGGCTCCCAGTTCAGTGCTGGGAACTGAACCCTGATCCTTTGGAAGAAGGAAGAGCCACATTTCCAGCCTCTGTAGTGGGAACCTATGTGGATCTCAAAGGCACATGTATCAAAGGCTTGATTCCTAGCCTGTGCCACTGTTAAGAGGTGGTAGAACGGGGAAGATGTAGTTCTGTTGGTGGAGTGCTTGCCTGGAAGCATGGAGTCCTATTTTCTATTCCCAGCACTGTATAAACTGGGAGTGGTGACACACATCACCAAGCCTAGTACTTGGGAGGGAGAAGCAGCAAGATCTGGAATTCAAGGTCATCCTTTGGGTGCAGACTGGGGTATATCAATCCTGTCTCGTAAAAAAGGTGGTAGAATGCCTTTAAGATATAGTGCTAGGGCCAGCAAGATGGCATAGGTTTCTTGCTGCCAGTTATAACCTTAGGAATCTCATGGTAGGAGAGAGCCGGCTCCCACAAGTCATCCTCTGCCCTCCATATAAGTGCTGTTGCATGCATGTACACACTTGAGTGCATATGAGCGTGCGCGCGCGCGCGCACACACACACACACACACACACTTGGTTGTCAACTTGACATAACTTGGAAGAGGGAACCTCAATTGAATTTTCTCCATTAGGTTTACCTGTAGCAAGTCTGTGGGGTGTTTTCTTTTTCTTTCTTTTTTTCTTTTTTTAATATTTAGTTTTATTATTTTATGTGTATGAGTGTTTTGCCTATGTGTAAGTCTATGTACCACACACATGCCAGATGCCCAAGGTGGTGGTTAGCCCACATGTGGGTGCTGGGAATCAAACCTGGGTGCTTGGCAAGAACAAGTGCTCTTAACCCCTTAGCCAACTCTCCTGCCTCAAGGGACATTTTCTTGATTGTTGATTGATGTGGAAAAGCCCAACCCACTGTGGGCAGTACCACACCCCCCACCCCCACCCCCGGGCATGTGGTCCTCGGAG